AGTCTAAATAAAACAAAAATATTGGTGGTAATTTTTGACTGTGTCACTTTACAATCGGCACCCCATACATAGCCATCCTACCGGAAAATGTTTGTAATGCATCAAAGGATTTCTGCAAAGCTGAAGCTTAGACTTCAGCCAGCGGTATCTTGGTGATTTCAATAAAAAGCAATGAGGTAGTTCAGGCACATCCAAGCATGGAGCTCAACATAATCTTAGAGTCACAGTTAAGCGTTCTGAAAGAAGTCACTGCAGTCTATCTTTACAGCATCCAGAGTCAACTTCTCTCCCAACTCCAGGGGTTCCATGAAGATGTTGAGACTGGGGAAGAAATGCACTGGCTCCTCCTCCTCCTCCTCTTGATCATACGAGTCCAAGTTCCCCATCCCATGGAACGAGATGTAACTGATGGTGGTGTTTGTGTCCAGTGATGTCTGTGTGTGGTCAGAGCTGTCAGAGTCATGGGAGAAGCTCTTAATATAGGTGGTCAGAGCAGGATACAGTAGCGTGGTTAGCTCGGTCTCTGGGCTCAGGTTGGTCGGTGAGGGGACACATGGCGAGATGTTTGTGGGGGTGTACGTGTCACAGCGCTGCTTGAAAATCTCCACGTTCACCAGAATAGTCTCATCTTCCTCATTGATTAAATTGGAGTTACCAGGTTGGAGCTGGAGGATCATCTTGCCCTGATGGAAGGGGAGACACTTGTTCAAACAAAGAACAGAACAGCAGAACAGTTCAAACAACTAGCAGAACACAGAGAGTGCATACCTCCGCCAAGACCCCAAATATTGCAAATGAGAGTGTGSAGCTGCTGAGCTGTGATTGGTGCAACAAAGTTCTACTGGATGCTTAGTGGCTTTCACTGTATGACATAATCACTACATCACAATATGACATCATCACTGAATCACAGTATGACGTCATCACTAAATCACTGTATAACATCATCACTAAATCACTATCGACATCACTAAATCAATGTATGACATTGTTGCTAAAAACAGTATGACATGACTAAAAACAGTATGACATCAAAACTACATCACTGTATGACATCATCACTAAATAACCGTATAACATTATCACTAAATCACTGCATAACGTCATCACTAAATCACTGTCGACATCACAAAATCAATGCATGACATTGTAGCTAAAAACAGTATCACATCACTAAAAACAGTATGACATCAACACTACATCACTGTATGACATCATCACTGAATAACCATATAACATTATCACTATATTGCTGTATAACCTCATCACTAAATCACTGTCGACATCACTAAATCAATGTATGACATTGTTGCTAAAACAGTATGACATCACTCAAAACAGTATAACATAATCACTAAATCACTGTATAACATCATCACTAAATCAGTCGACATCACTAAATCAATGTATGACATTGTTGCTAAAAACAGTATGACATCACTAAAACCAGTATGACATCACTAAAACAGTATGACATTATTACTGAATCACAGTATAACATAATCACTAAGTCACAGTCGACATCACAAAATCAATGCATGAAATTCTTGCTAAAACAGATGACATCACTAAAAACAGTATTATGACATCAACACTACATCACTGTATGACATCATCACTGAATCACAGTATAACATAATCACTATATTGCTGTATAATGTCATCACTAAATCACTGTCGACATCACGAAATCAATGTATGACATTGTTGCTAAAAACAGTATGCCATCACTAAAAACAGTATGACATAATCACTAAATCACTGTCGACATCTTTAAATCAACGTATGACATTGTTGCTAAAAAAGTATGACATCATCACTAAATCACAATGTAACAATCACTAGATCATCATCGACATTACTAAATCAATGTATGACGTTGTTGCTAAAAACAGTATTTCACTAAAAACAGTATGACATACAGTAAACACTACATCATTGTATGACATCATCACTAAATCATAGTATAACATAATCACTTCATCACTGTATTACATCATCACTGCATCAGAGTATGACATCACTAAATCACAGTATAACACAATCACTAAATAACTGCATAATGTCATCACTAAATCACTGTCGACATCACTAAATCAATGTATGACATTGTTGCTAAAACAGTATGACATCACTAAAACAGTATGACATCATCACTAAATAACAGTATAACATAATCACTAAATCACTGTATAAAATCACTGTCGACATCTCTAAATAAACGTATGACATTGTTGCTAAAAACAGTATGACATCATCACTAAATCACAGCAGAACACAATCACTAAATCACTGTCGACATTACTAAATCAATGTATGACATTGTTGCTAAAACAGTATGGCATCTCTAAAAACAGCATGACAAACGCTACATCACTGTATGAGATCATCGCTGAATCACAGCATGACATCACTAAATCACATAACATCATCACTACATTACAGTATGACATCATCACTAAATCACAGTACACTAAATCACAGCCCCGGACATGCTGGTCCAAGTGGCTGGGGAGAGGTATTTCTGGGTCTCTCTGCTTAGGCTGCTGCCCCCGTGACCCGATCCCAGATGATCGGCAGAGAACGGACGGACGGACATCATCACTAAATTACTGTATGTATGGCATCATCACTAAATCACTGTATAACATCATCACTAAATAACGGTATGACATCACTAAATCACTACTACATCATCACTAAATCAATGTATGACGTTGCTAAAAACAGTATGACATCATCACTAAAACGATTTTACATCATCAATAAAAACCAGCCTCTGACTCTGTTCTGTTTATGATTTCAGTTTTTGTTTGTGCCAGATCTGTGAGTTGTAGTTCTGTCAGATGTTGCCAGATCACCACCAAAATTTAAGGAATTGTAGTTTGTGACAACCTCAACATGCCATGAAATTTTCACAAAAATCCATCCATAACTTTTTGAACAATTTTGTGCAAAGATGGACAAACAAACCAATGCTGCCAAAAACATAACCTTCTTGGCTGAGATAATAAAGATCAGAGTGTGTGTGTGTGTGTGTGTGTGTGTGTGTGTGTGTGTGTGTGTGTGTACACACATACATACATACGGTCACACACTCACATTGGTTTTACATACAATTCTTACCCCATCTTTGGTGCACTGTTTGGCCCACTTGCTGTTTGCAGGATCTGGCACATCAGGAATGAGGCAGGAAAAAAACTGTCTAAACCTGAAAGTGGAAACCTGGTGAGCAGTGCTGCATGGAAAATGTCCCTACAACACAAAAGCCAACTCTTTTTCTAACAAGAACTTCTAAACTTAGCACAAAAAGATAATGTTGTAACAGTGCTCMTTGGCACCAAATCGTTTTCCTTTGGAAATTCTGTTTACCTCCTTTCACACGGGGCCTCATTTATTTAGAATATACATTTGTTTGGAGCAGCAGAGTAGTATGTATCAGTACGTAGGATGTACCCATGATAAACAAATCGCTGCCATTGCCAAACATGGTCTTTTTCTTCTAGGATGTTTGGTTGGCTAACTGTTTGGTGCATTAGGAGTGTGCTTCATGATAACAACTTTACATTTTCCGTCTCTTCCCCATATATCATCTACAGTTCTTTAACTTTCCCTAATACCTCATATTATATTCCTTACTTTATAAATATTCAACATTGTCCTCTACTTCTTCCTTGTCCATTCCTTTTTAAATTGAAAATGCAAAATGTAAATTAAAACATGTAATTTATGTAAAATGTAATTTAAAACACTTATTTGTCTCTATAGAATGATTTACCTGTATTAGCTTTGTAGAGAGATCTAGTAGAGTGCTGAATAAATGTGTGTGTGAATGGGTGAAAGGGCACAGATTGTAGTGTAAGGAGCTTTGAGTGTCCTGGTTGTATAGAGAGGAGCTTTATAACAATATAGTAACAACGAGGTGGTGAGAGGGAAGGCTGTAGTGGGAAACTCAAGTAATTTATTTTGATGTTTTTAGCAGGATTATTTCTGCAAACTCTTTCAGAATTGACAGACTACGTACCCTTTTYCCCTTTTTAATTTTAGCCAATCAAAAATACTGTTTTTTGTTTGGTCTACATCTTCAAATACAGAAAAACTATTAGTCACACTCCAAATGTTTTTTTGTCAAAAATAAAAATAAAATGGTTCAGTACCATAGACTTAAATATAAAKATCACCAGACTAAGCCCTGCCCATCCCGTCCACTGGTGTCTGTGACATCATGGAGGAGCAGAAACAGACCAAACAGGACAACAGCTCACAGCTGAACTGGATCTGTTTCACACATTATCTGTC